TCCGCAGGAAGTGGAACGAAACCTCCAGGACGCCATGCAGGTGTGCCGCAACGTTCTCCTGGACCCCCAGCTGGTCCCAGGGGGCGGCGCCTCTGAGATGGCCGTGGCCCATGCTTTGACAGAAAAATCCAAGGCCATGACCGGTGTGGAACAGTGGCCGTACAGGGCTGTTGCCCAGGCCCTAGAGGTCATTCCTCGTACCCTTATCCAGAACTGTGGGGCCAGCACCATTCGCCTGCTTACCTCCCTTCGGGTGAGTCCCTCCCCAGCGTTCTCCTGACGGGGTCAGGACAGCTGCCTGGCCCGAGAGGCTGGTTCACATCTGTCCATCGGCTTCTCCTGACCGCCTGTTCCCTTAAAGTGTCCTCTCTCTCAGCGTTTGACTTGTTGTCGTTGCTATTTCCGTGTATCATTTCAGTATTTTTGGTTTAGTGTTTGTTGTGTTTCGTTCTTCCGTAACGTTCCCTGCCTGCTCACTTGTTCCCGGTGTCACCCCTTTAACTGGTGATGCTCCTTCTGACCACAGGCCAAGCACACGCAGGAGGGCTGTGAGACCTGGGGTGTGAACGGGGAGACCGGCACTCTGGTGGACATGAAGGAGCTGGGCATCTGGGAGCCCCTGGCCGTGAAGCTGCAAACGTACAAGACGGCGGTGGAGGTGAGGCGGCCTACTGCGTAGGCTGTGCCGTTTATTTGCAGAGAACCAGAAGCCAGGGTGTTTGGTGTGGTCTGGAAAGGGGGAGGGTGTGGAAGGCAGAGTGTTCCCCAGAGACCGCCCAGGGAGCTCCATCCCCCAGCTGAGCTCACGTGAAAGCAGGTGACCTAGCACGGGACGCGCCCCTTGCTGAGGGAGAAGTGCAGCAAGTCTCTGGAAAGGAGGATTTCAGATAAAATGCTAATTGTGTAGGAGGAGCTGAGTGTCGTGTTCAGAAGAGAACAAGTGTCCCTCCGTTCTCTGCTGACCCCTTTGGGGCCGTGGTGTCTCTCTTAGACGGCCGTGCTGCTCCTACGGATTGATGACATCGTCTCTGGCCACAAAAAGAAGGGTGACGACCAGAGCCGGCAAGGCGGGGCTCCGGACGGCGGCCAGGAGTGAGCGGTGGGCAAGGCGGCCTCAACGCACTGAGCCAGCCGAGGCTCCTCTTCCCTGAGCGGGACTGCCAGGGACACTGGGTGTCTTTGTTTGGAAGGGATCGGGTTGAGGGGCAGCCCCAGCCCCTTTCTGTCCCAGCTCAGTTTGCAAAAGGCGCTGACATGTAATTCTTCTCTATTGTAAGCTTTCCACTTAGTTTGCTTCCGATGATTAAATCTAAGTCATTTGAGACAGTTGTTATGTTTTTCAACCTTGGGTCATAGCTCTGTCTCCTGGCAAAGAGGGAGGGGGCAGAAGACTGTCCTGGGGAGTCTTCCCTGGGGAGGGAGGGAGGGAAGTGCCTCCTCCAAGGTATTTCTCAGACTTCTCAGTACCTGCCGGCCGGGAAGACTCCTGGGTCGCCCTTCAGAGCTTGCAGAAGTGCCGCGTTGCGTTCACCAGCCCGAGAACGGGAGGAACCCGTCCCGGCCGCGGCTGTGCCCCTCGCGCGGCTGTGCGCAGAGCTACCCCGGGCCGTGCCAGGGCTCAGGCACTGGGTCTGAGACGCCCGCGACATGCGTCTCTTCCGTCCTGTCCTGTCACTTCCAGAATCCCTCCCGTCTTCCCTGGACCCCTCCTCACCCCAGCCCCAGCCTGCGCCCGGCTCCCTGCGCCACAGGAGGGCCGCGGCTTCCCCGCTGCCTCTCCTTCCGTGCGGGACGCTGGAGGCTGGGTGGGGCCTCTCATGTCTTCGTGCCCTTCCTCTTGGCTGCCGGGCCTCCCACGTCCCCTTCGTCCTTGTGATTCATGCAGTCAGCCTGGTCTCCTCCCTGATCGCGGGACTTAGTCACGTTAAGTTGAATACCAGGTAGCATAATAGCACGTAGTCCCTCCTGGGTGATAACATACCCACCTCACAGGGGCTAAGGTTGGGCAACAACATCCCCCATCGTCCGTGGGGAAGTGGCCTGACAGAGTCGTGTTGAGGGTCACGAAGCTGGTGAGTGGAAGACGGAATTCCGGTGTGGGCAGCTCGGCCCCCGCCTGGGAGGGGTGGGCGGGGCTCTGGAGGCCGGGTCTGCTCACGCCCGCTCCGCCTTCCAGCTCAGCACTCCGGGTCTTGGCTTCTCCTCTTCTCCAAGGGATCTGAAATAAGCTGGTCTTTTCCTGAAATCCCTGCCTCTTTTTTTTTTTTTTTTTTTTTTTGAGGTTTTTGTTTAAAATTTTAGCCCAAGTAGACGGGAGGGGCAGAGTGGGGGAGAGAGGGAATCAGAGCCGACATGGGGCTCCATCCCGTGACCCGGGGATGATGACCTGAATTGAAATCAGGAGCCAGAAGCTCAACCAGCTGAGCCAGCCAGGCGCCCTCCCTGCTGCTCTACTTGCACTGTGTGTCATTCCGTCAGGGCTTTAAGACCTCAGAGAAAGAAAATGGATTAATCTCAAAAAGTGAATAGATACTGACACGGTATTCCTCACAAGACCCGAGAAGTTACAGAGGGAGGAAGCTAGTCCCCCTGCGTGGAATCTTCCCTCCCATCTGTGATTTACCCCGACGGCAGGCACTTGAGTAAATGGTGGCCTTCTGCTGTTGGGAGTCTCCCCTCTGGGAGCCCCCGTGTGTCCTGGGCCTGTGGAAACCCCTTCTGGCAAGTTAGAGCAGCCTGTTCTTCCGTCCGGCTTTCAAAGCCCCTTTGTGCTACCTGGGCTGAAATTTCACGTTGGGATTACAGGCTGCCCACACCACGTTCCCTGGCCTGGCGTGAGTCTCCGTTACCAAATAGTAGTTCCATGAACATGGCTTTGCTGCCGCCTCGACCTCGCTCGCGGGCCTTCCTACTGTCGGGCTCCTGGAGTCCACCGACTCCCGTTTTCCTCTAAAGCAGCGTTTCTTTGGGTGGTGGGGAGGCTTGGACTCACGGCTGCTCAGGCTCTCTGTGCTCAGCCAGCACTCGTTTCCGCGTGCCCTCGTCAGGCCCCAGGGCTGATACTGCAGAGGATGCAAGTTACTTGTCTCAAAAGTGGGTTTCCTGAGAAACCTTGAGTTCATCCTAGACTAGCCGTTTTGCGGGGGGGGGATGAAATTGGATCCCTACTTCATTCATTGTTTGCAAATGCAGCTGAAAGACTTAAATACGAGCAAGTGAAACTAGGAGAAAACATGAGGTGTTTAAAATTACAAAGTTTATGTGATGAAAACAATAGGAGCCTGGGTGGCTCAGTCAGTTGAGCGTCCGACTTCGGCTCAGGTCATGATCTCACAGTTTGTGAGTTCGAGCCCCACGTCGGGCTCTGTGCTGACAGCTCAGAACCTGGAGCTGCTTCGGATTCTGTGTCTCTTCTCTGCCCCTCCCCTGCTCACTCTATCTCCGTCTGTCTGTCTCTGTCTCAAAAATAAATAAACAACAATGAAAAACAAGAGGGGGTTGATACTGTACCAATACAAACGTGAATTTCTGTATCAAACTTTTAAAATGTGGCAGTCAAGACCATCGGGACTACAGGAAAATAGGCAAAGGGTATAAATAGCTCCAGAGTAGTGAAAGTGACTGTAAAACGGGAGATGTTCACCTTATTTAGGGGGAAATGCAAATAAGCCTGGTAAACACCTAGCCAGGGTGAGGAGACAAAGGCCCTCTGGTCTCCTTCAGAGGTCGGTTCCATCTGGCAGTTTGAGTCCTGACTATATCTTACAGATTCGGGTTCAGATATATAGGAAATGCTGTACATACAGCGATCTTCATTTCAACGCTTGCCATCACAAAATGTTGGAAACGATCAGGGTTCTGGTTAAATAGGTTCGTGGGACATCCCCCTGCAGAGAAGGACAGGTGGAGGAAGGCAGCGCCAGGTGCACTGATTGAGAACAGCCCTCGACGCACACGTGAAAATGAAAATGCAAACTGCAGAGCGGTGTTTGGATGCCAATGTATGGCATCGCGTGTATGGGCTATATGTATATACCTGTAGCAAGTAAGCCCTCGGCCCAACCTGGGGCTTGAACAACCCGGAGATCAGGAGTCCCCCACTCCACTGACTGAGCCCGCCTGGCGTCCCTGCATAATGTCTTTGGAAGGACACGAAAGTAACAGTGTTTGAGGGAAAGACCCAGGTCACTAGGAAATAAAGATGAGACCTTTTGGTGCCTCATGAATTTTGTGTCCTATGCGTTTATTAGCCAAAATAAATTTTTTAGTCTAATTTTAAGCAAAAACCCCAAAGAACAACAAAAAGTGGGTTTATTCAGCCAGACAGGAACTCCTTTACAAACACTACATACTTGGGGCGCCAGGGGGTGTCTCAGTCGATTAAGCGTCTGACTTCGGCTCAGGTCATGATCTCACGGTTCGTGGGTTCGAGCCCCGCGTCGGGCTCTGTGCTGACAGCTCAGAGCCTGGAGCCTGCTTCTGATTCTGTGTCTCCCTCTCTCTCTGCCCCTCCCCCACTCACGTTCTCTCTCTCTCTCTCTCTCTCTCAGAAATAAATAAAACATTTTTTAAAAAAATACTACACACTGTTCTCACATCCTATTTACTGAGGTACCTTTTCTCCGCAATAGAATTGTAAGCTCTTCTAGGACAGAAGCCTGCGCACCTGGGGGCTCAATAAATATTAATAATTGACCAAAAGAACTATCTGGGGTCTGCTGTCTCTGCCCTGAAGTCCTTCAAATCCCTCTGCCTCCCTTACAGCACAGAGTCAGTTTATTGGGGTCCATTTGGATCTTGAAAGCAGACGCCACGGGCACTTGCAGGTATGAGCGCGGCAGGTAGGAGAGGCCGGGAGCGTGGCTGCGCACCTGTCTAGCCTGAGGCGTCTCGCAGCCCCGTTGGGGACAGGAGCTCAAGCCGGAATCTGGGGTAAAGGAGGCGGCCTCTTTAAGAGCTGGTAGGCTGGCCCCGCCCTGCAGAGAGGTCAGCTGCATCTGGGAGTCACATGACTGCGGTGTGTCTTCCGCCTTCTGAAGCTGGGGTCGCATGTGCGGCCGTGAGGGGCCCCGCCCGGGCTGGGGGCGCTGTGCCCCCAGCCCCGTGCTCCTCCTGAGTCTGCTCGCGTCTGCAGCCCCGCATAGCCTGCTGGGGGAGGAGACCCGCCAGGTGAGGGGCGAGAGCAATAGATGTTTCGGGAAATTGGACCCTGGGAGAGAGCTTGGAATCCAGGACACCCGAGGGGCAGGGGTGCGGTAGCTGCTTGGAGACGAATTCTTCAGCCAGGGCTCCTGGGACACGACTGTGGAGGAGGCGGGTGTGGGGGTGCCCTGTCTTCTGGTGAAAGCTGGGTGACCCTGGTCCAGGCAAGTGACAGGCTTTTTCTCCCCCTGCCGCCGCCCGGCGCCCTCACTGGGGTCAGGGCAGCTGTGGCTCTGCCCTCCTCTCCTCCGCCCTCACGCGCACGCTGCTCTGCCCTGTGTCTCTCCCGACCCCGCTCCCGCGCCCCTCCCCTGCTCCGTGTCTAGGTGTCTCTGGAGGCCATCCCTGCCGGGCTGGACCCCCCGCAGAACCTGCTGCACATCCGGGCGGTGGGAACCAACTCCACCCTGCACTACGTGTGGAGCACCGTGGGGCCTCCGGCGGTGCTGCTCGTGGCCACCGACACCCCCCACAGCGCCCTGAGTGTCAACTGGAGCCTCCTGCTCTCCCCTGAGCCCGACGGGGGCCTGATGGTGCTCCCCAAGGACAGCATCCGGTTCTCTTCCGCCCTTGTCTTTACCAGGGTGAGGAGGTTGGGGGAGAACCAAAGGGGGGGGGCGTCCGGATTCGAGGGAGGGCCGGGCCGCAGGTATGGGAGCCAGCGGGTGAGGGTGATTCGGGGACGGCTCAGGCAACCCTGCCCCCCCACCCCGCCCGCCAGCTCTTCGAATTCGCCGCCGCCAACACATCCGAGGCGGCCCAGCCTCCAGGAGAACCGTATGCCCCGTATTCCCTGGCCAAGTTCTCCTGGAACAACATCACAGACTCACTGGATCGGGCCACCCTGAGCGCCACGTTTCGAGGCCACCCCACTGATGACCCCACTGGGGCTTTTGCCAACGGCAGCCTGGCCTTCAGGGTAAGGGTGTGGGGAAGCAGAGGAACTCAGAAGGCTGGTTTAGGAGGGTGGGGGTGCCCTTCGAAGCCAGGCCTGCCCCCCTGCTTCCCGCGCCTCCCTCACTTCCCCCACCCCAGGTGCAGGCCTTCTCCGGATCCGGCCGGCCAGCCCAGCCCCCGCGCCTCCTGCATTCGGCCGACACCTGCCAGCTGGAGGTGGCCCTGGTGGGCGCCTCTCCGCGGGGAAACCGCTCCCTGTTTGGGCTGGAGGTAGCCACCCTGGGCCAGGGCCCCGACTGCCCCTTGATGCGGGAGCTGCACTCCATCGATGATGAATATGCACCTGCTGTCTTCCAGGTCAGGCCTCCAGCGGAGGGGGAGGGAGGGGGTAGGCGGGACAGAATCATGGAACCGGTTACCATTTAGCGACATAGTTCAGCTCCTTTAAGCGACGGTCACTGTGCTGACGAATCTGGTCCATCCTGTGCCTTCGGTGGAGAAGACAGAAGGAAGGGGGGCCCGGGGTCTGGGGGCCCGGGGGCGGGAGCTGAGTGCAGGCTTGCGGAGGGTCAGGGCTGGAAAAGGACGCAGCGCCCGTGGTCCAACTCCCCTTTCACAGGCTCTGCCAACAGCCTGCGAGTCCTGGAAGCAGACCCAGGACTCAAACCGCCAGTGGCGGGGAGGCGGGAAGGGTGGGGGAACAGAAGGGCCGGGCCCCCGCTGCTCCTCCTCATCCCGTTTGCCTTTCTCCCCAGTTGGACCAGCTACTGTGGGGCTCCGTCCCCCCCGGCTTCGTGCAGTGGCGGCCGGTGGCCTTCTCCCGGAGCCGGGGGGGCCGGGAATCCGCCCTGCGCTGCAGAGCCTCCCCGCCCCGCCCCACCTGGGCGCACATCCCGCAGTCGCCCATAGTCCGCGCCTTCTTCGAGTCCCACAGTAACTTCTGTGCCTTCAACCTGACGTTTGGGGCTTCCACGGGCCCTGGCTACTGGGACGCACACTACCTCAGCTGGTGAGGGCCGGGCGGGCCGGGCCGGGGCTTCGGGAGGGGTGTGGGGGAGCCGGTTTCCTCTAACGCCTCCGTTTGTCGCTCGTGCTTGCCTCAGGTCCATGCTCTTGGGCGTGGGCGCCCCTCCCGTGGACACCCTGTCCCCGCTAGTCCTGGGCATCATGGCGGTGGCCCTGGGTGCGCCGGGACTCATGCTGCTGGCTGGAGGCGCGTTTCTGCTGCTGGGCCACAGGCGGTGCTCGGAATACCAGCCCATAAACTGAGGCCTGCTGTTCGGAGGGCCTGCTGGCCGGAGGGTCCAGCTGCCCCCTTCTCCCAGCTTGCTTTGCTGCGGAACATCAGGGACCACCTTCACCGTTCCGGAGAACCCCCAGGCGGGGCTGCCTTCATCCTCTGGGGAGGGGCCGGGGGCAGGGTGATCGCTGGCGGGAGGGTCCCTTGGCGATGCCTTGCGGCCCCTCTGCCCCCATTCCCCTTAAATGGGACTCACGGGCCTAAACGAGAGGCCTTCTGACGGGTCATGCACCCCGGAGGGCACGAAATAGACTCATTTTCTGCCCTCTCTCTTCTCTCAGTGTGTGGGCCGTGGGCTGCGGTGCTGCTGAGTCTGGGGAGGGGAGGGGTGGGGAGGCACCGCTCCAGTGCGGCCCCTTCTCTCCTCACTGGACGGACGCTTCCCTTCCCCCTGCACGCGACAGGCTCCCACCAGACTTGCTCTGTCATGTGGGGAGAGTCCGGTGCAGCCCAGGTCTGACCAGGAAGGGACGTTGGGGGGGGTGGGGGACCAAGAAGGAAGAGGCGGGGGGCCCGTGGCAGCCATTTATTGTCAGACACACGTTCGCAGGGGGTCGGCGTGGCCGCTGTGCCTTCCTGCTGCTCCCCAGCTGGCACACGCCCGCCCCTGCGTCTCTGGGGAGGCAGGCCTCCCCCTTCCGCACCTCTTCCCAGGGGAGGGGCGTGGTGGCTTCAGGGCAGTTTGGAGGCCTAAATAGGTTGGAAGACAGGAGGCCGCAGCTCTGGCTGGAGCGGCTTTGATCTTAACCGAGGCTAAGGTGGGCCAGTCGTGGAGGGTCCTGAGCCCAGGCCCCCAGGAAGGTTTTCACCGAATGTGGAAGTCTGGTTTGATGGGACGCCCAGCCTTTATCTTGGGCACAGGCACCATTTCCCGTCCCCCCGAGGCCCTCTGCTTGGACAGTGGCACAGAAGTGGTCGGTCTGGCCGCTGCTCTGCCTGCTCACTGCCTCCCGGGAGGCTGGAGGGTGGGGGAGGGCTGCTCCTGACCCTGGCCCTGGGCTCTCGGCCCTCAGCATCTGTAAAGGGCGTGGCCGTGACGTCCACCTCTTCTGCCAGGAACCAAAGTCCCCCCCTCATGACTGCCCCAGGCCCCCAAGGTAAAGGGCAACTCCGACGGCAGGCAGGGGGAGAGCTGGGGGCAGTCGGGGCAGTAGCGGGGCTCGGCCCTGCGGGGGGGGGTGAACATGAGAGGTCGGGGCCCTCAGCCCCAGGGCCGGGGCCTGTGGTCCGAGGCCGAGCGGGCGTGGTCGGGGTAGTCGAGGCGGCTCTCGGCTGCACTGAGCATGCGCTCGGGCTCCACCACAAACATGTAGTACAGGTTCCACACCAGCATGGACAGCAAGGGCAGGAACGTGAGGCCGTAGCCGAAGCCTCGGAAGGAGCGGCCCACGGCGAAGGTCAGCCAGTAGATCAGCCTGGAGGGTGGGTGGCAGGGGGCAACGGGAAGTCAGGCCCCTGGACGGGAGTGCAGGCGGGGAGCCCACGCGGGTCGCTGGGCACAGCTGACACCTCTCAACGCAGGTGACGGCTAAGCGTTTACTACGGGCTGGGCTCCGCGCTAATTACTCTAGGGGCCTATTTACACTTTCCCACGTGTCTGGGAGGCGAATGTGTTCCCCTCCCTCTTCGTCTGCTTTTCAAATTTAAGTGTAAAACGTTGGAGTAGACCGTATACACCCACGGGTTCACAGTGCAAAGGCGCCAGTTGGTGCAGTAAAATGTCTTCCTGTCCTGACTCGCAGCCACCCTGTTCTCTCCACCTCCACTCCACCCCCTCCTCCGACGTCCAGTGTCACAGTGGCTTGCGCAAGTGCTGTTCATGTGTAGATGAGTGAGCAAAAGATTTGTTTTCCTGTCCTAAAGTTCGGTGGCGGCGGGGCGCCTGGGGGGCTCAGTCGGTTGAGCGTCCGACTTCGGCTCAGGTCATGATCTCATGGTTTGTGGGTTCGAGCCCCGCGTCGGGCTCTGTGCTGACGGCTCAGAGCCTGGAGCCTGTTTCAGATTCTGTGTCTCCCTCTTTCTGCCCCTCCCTGATTTGTGCTCTGTCTCTCTCTGTCTCAAAAATAAATAAAAAACAAAAAAAAAAGTAAAGTTCGGTGGTGGGCCATGCAGATGGCTCTGCGCAGTTTTCCCCACGGACCGCGCCCTGCAGAGTACAGTTCTGTCAGGACATGAACAGCCTCCTCATTCTTTTACAGCTCAGTACACCCACTGTAGTTATTTCTCTTTTTGCAGTGGAAGAAATAAGATTCCAAAGGGGTTAAGTAGAACTGGCCCAAGGTCACACATCAGGGAAATAGTAACACTGTGATTTGAACCCAAGCCATTCATTGCCCTCTCTCCTGTCCTTTTAGACAGGCGGGGGGCGGGGGGAGAAAGGAGTACGGACACCAGCTTTGAGAGGGCATGAAGCCCAAAGGCATGGGACCTTCCCCTCTTGGGAGATCCACTCCAGATCCACGCTCTCAGTGTCCTCTCAATGTGGGAAGGACCACTGACTACAGAAGTGACGTGATGTGCCTCTGCTCTTTTCTCCGCAGAACAGGGGAAAGAAAGAGCACCCGCTGCTTCCGCACCACCCCGGGGGGCGGGGGGCAGCGGGCAGAATAAAGGAAAGGTTCCGCCCGGTGAGCCCTATCCAGCAGACTCTGGTAAGCACGCTACATGAATTAACTCACGAATCCCCACAGCTCCATTTCACAGAGGAAGTGGAGGCACACGTGTTTGAGTAACTTCCCTGGTAGGGAAGGAAGGGCCCTGGTGACAGACGCGGGGCCTGCATTCCAAGCCCCACTGCCGCTGAGCAGCCTAAACGGTCCCTCTCCCCTGGTGTGCTGCGCCTTCCCCGCTGTAAAGAGGGTGAGACAGGCCAGACAACCGCTGGGTCCCTCGTGAGCCCCTGACGGTTCTTCCTGCCTGAGCCGACTCCTGTCTGACACCAGCAGACCCCAGGATGCACCCGGGAGGGTGAGTTACACAGAGGAGAGGCTGGTGGGACAGACAGCCACTGCGCTACAATCAGCAGCGACAGAGGAGGCAGATTCTAGCTCAAGAGGAAGATTGTTCTAGCAGCTAAAGTGACCGGGAATCCTGAATCAAAAGTAACAACAGGAAACAACAGCAGCCCGAAGGGGTTCAGGTGACGTCCGAGTGAAAGCAGAGGAGCGGGGCTGCCCTGGGAGCCATTGTGGCCCCGTCTGTAGGAACAGAGGCCAGTGCCTGTGACCACTGACAAACAGGACACTCCCCTGCCCAGAGGGAAGGTCACAGGAGGCTGAGGGACCCTGGGGAAGCAGGGTGCTGGAGTGGGGGGATCGGGGGCAGTGGTCAAGTGTCTGAATCGTCTGAGGCAACTCCAGAGTCCAGGTCAGGCGAACGCTTTTTAGCACCATGTAAAGAAAACCTTTCTGGTAATGGGGACCCTTGAAAAATGAAACAGACACTCTTGCAAAGAACTGAACAGCGTCACCGGGAGTGTTCAGCCAGAGGCCACGGCCGGCTGACGGGAGTGCCAGGAAGAGTGGCAGCAGCAATGAGCAGGAGGCTGGCCTAGAAGACGCCTGAGAGCCCTTCCAGCGTCAGGTCAGTATTTGGGTCTCTGAACTCAACTTCCTTTGGGAAGACACGCCTGCTACCAGGTGAGGCAAGGTGCTAGGGGACAGCGGACGCACCCATTCGGACGCACATTTAGGCTAATGGAGGGTCTAGAAGGCTCCCTGCCCCCTCTGCCCAGGCCAGACGCCTGGGCCCCTTCAGCCTCCCCGGTGGCACCCCCCCGCACCCCCAACTCACCGGGAGACGGCAAAGAGACCAGTGAGCAGAGGGAGGAGCTTGAGGGTCTCCTGGGGCAGGTAGGTGGCGAGCACGGCCAGGTTGAAGAAGTACAGGATGAAGAGCTGGACTGACTGGGCCACGTACTGCCGGTGGATCTCCACCTCCCGCCGGGGCTCCCCGAAGGGCCGCAGGGCTGAGAAGCACAACAGGCTGAGCCCGTACACCAGGAGCCCTGGGGGGGGGGGCGGCGTGGGGTCAGCATAGAGCAGCAGCGGGGCGCCAGGGAGGGTCCTTGGTGGGGCCCCCACCCCGGCTGGGCACGCGGGGCGGAGCCTGGGAGGCCCGGAGAAGGGGAGCTCTGCCCCCCCGTCCCGCTCCCTTCTCCCCCGCGCGGCTCACCCAGCACGATGGGGAAGGTGGCGAAGACGCCGCAGCGCAGCGTGTAGATGAGGCGGGAGCTCATGGTGGGCAGCCGCGGGGCGTCGAAGGGCAGGAAGGCGTAGGCCCCGTACAGCAGGCAGGGGAAGAGGATGAAGGCGGCTCCCACGGAAGCCACGGCCCGCACCCCGTCCCGGCCCCCGCAGCCCCCGCAGCCCCCGCAGGAGCGGCCGGGCGGCTTCACCATGGCCTCGGCCCACTTGCGCTCCAGGGGCTCAGGCTGGGCGGCCCGGGCAGGTGGGCAGGTCCGGCGGCGCTCGGCCTCGCCCGCCTCGCAGCGCACCACCAGGTCCTCCTGGGGCCGCCGCTCGATGCACTGCAGGTCGATGGGCACGAAGGCCCGGGCCGCCTTCTCGGGCAGCAGGTTGGCATCATCTTCGGACAACTCCTCTAGCTTGGTAGGTGGCTCTGACCGGAGGGGCTCGGGCTCGATGTCCCGCCACCCGGGGGGGTCTGGGAACGGGGCGCTGGGCTGGGGGCCAGTCCCCCAGGGCAGGGTGGCGGCCTCGCTCACTGTGCTGTCCAGACCATCCTCAGCCCCCTCTTCGGCTGTGGGAGACCCAGCAGAAGACCCCGCCCTGGAGGACTCGGCCTCACTTTCCCCTTCTGGCTGCCGGCCGTTGGGGACCAAGGCCTGGGGCAGGCTCTTCTCCGGGGCCTCAGACCCCTTCACTTCCAGTAGGGCCAGGGTCTCGGGTTCTGTCATCTTGAGGCCTCAGCTCTGGGCTCTACCATGAGGCCCTATCACCCTGCAGGGAGCAGAAGAAAGCCTGGTCAGGAGTTCCTGGCTTCTGGCCCTTGGGACAGGGTGACAGAATTGGAACTCTCTGGGGCAGCTGGTCTCATGGGCTTTAGCCCCTTGTGGGACCTTAGGGAGAACATGGTACCGAGGAAGGTGTTGACACAGAAGGAGGCAGGAGGGAAGTAAGCAGCTGAAAAGGAGACACCCTTCCAACGTCAGATGCCATCCAGCAGGAGAGGGTGAGTCAGGGGGCATAGGCGTTGACAGCGGTGGCCTCGGCCAGCTCCCACCCATGCCTTCTACCGCCCCCTCTCTCTCCTCTGAAATCCCCGGGGTCACGTCCACCCTAATGCAGAAACCGGAGGAAGGGGAGTTGTCTAGAACTTTGCCTGGAGCTGCCTTCCCACTAGGGGCCTCTTGTGGACAGAGAGGCTGCCCCTTCACCTTCAAACCTCCCCTTCTTGAAGATCCTTGCTTGGAGCTAATTCTCCTGGGAACCGATACCAGGGATTTGCTAATAAATCTGTCCCGGGGAACCGACAGCAGCAGTGCACCCTGTTCTTCGGTCTCCAGTGTGGGTGCATGGGCAGTTTCCATGCTCTTCGCTAGCCCATGCCCTCCATCCTTCCTCTCCAGAGGGCCTGGGGCTGTCCGTTCTGGCTTCTAGGTCTAATTATGGCTGTTCCCCATGCCTCCTCTCCTGTTTTCCTCCCTGTCTCCTCCACCTCACTGCTTCTGGATGGGGCCGAGTCCCTCCCTCCACCTCCTCGACGCCCTTCTACCCTTTGCCATGTGAACCCATGACGCCCTCTTACTTTCCATCTGCAGAGGCGGAGGGTCCCCAACGTCTGGGAAGGAGCTGCCCAGCTCCCTGCTGGCTCTGCAAGTATCCCTCTCAGTCTCTCTCCCTTTACCTGTGGCTCCAAACCTGTCTGACCAGAGCAGGTGGGGCCCAGATTAAAGGCGCAGGCCCCGCCCTGCTGAATCTGCCGACAGGAAAAGCACTGGCAGACGTCACCCTCTCTGAAAGTGGGGGGTGCAGCTGGGCATAAAGGCAAGTGTGTGTTCTAGGCAGATGGGGTGTGTAGGAGCTTGAAGCTCAGGACAGCAGAGGGTACGTCAAAGGGCACTTGAAGTAGGTAGAAAGGGTGGGATTTCTGCACTTGTGCAATGTTTGCTGAGCACCTGTTACTGGCTCGGCACAGACATCGGGGAGAGCGCAAGCAAGGTCCCTGGCCTCAAGGAGCCTGTTCTATCGCGGTAACAGATAATACAGAACTCATCAATAAGACAATTGGAGTAGCGATGACCTCTCTGCGCAGACATTTGAGCAGAGACCTGACAGGAAACGAGGAGGGCTCTGAGGAGGGCACAGCAAGTGAAATACCCGCTTAGGCTGTTTCAGGAACAGAAAAAAGGTTGGTGGCTGGAACCAGGAGCATGGAGGTGGAAGGGAATTTACGTTCCTATTACAACTCACACAGACACCCCCGCCCCCGACCTTGCTTTTTAGCCTAGGTCTAATGTTGAGAAAGCAATAGGAATCCAAGGAAATCTTTCCAAGGCATAAACGTGAGAGGGGCTTCTCATTCCTGTGGGGCCTCACCCCAAAGTCACCCGAGCTTAGTGAGGGCGGGACAGAGTCTGGATCGCTCACCGCCGTGTCACCTGGAAGACAGCAGGTGTTCAATAAAGGTTTGCTGGGCTACTCGCGGAGACACAGCAAGAGGAAGGCTGCGGGGCGGGGTCCGAGCGCGAGCACCGGCGCGGGGGCACGTCCTGGAGACGCCTCACTCACGGCCCCCCTTGCCCCGGCAAACTCTCACGTACACTTTTGTTCGGTTAAGTAACGGGGGAGAAGGGAGAACTGGATCACCTGCAACCTGAGAGGGACGCTGCTCAAACGGGGGGGGACGCGTGTTGGGTCGGCAGGCAGTGTAGACCACACGGCCACCGCGGGGCAAAGCAAAGCCTCGCTCCCAGCCGTGGGCCCAGCGGCCACGCCCCTGAGTTGAGCCCCAGCCCCTCGCCGGGTCCACTGTTCGTTCTCTGGCGGCTTTGTCAATAAAGTTTTTCGCAAGGACTTGGAGAAGCCGGAAGGAGGCCGCGCTGCCCAGACTTAGTTCTGGCAACTTCCCGGGAGGGAAAACGAGCCTCGCGAGACTTGGTAGCATGCAGGCCTTTCCCCCCCCCTCCCCCAACCCGGCGCAGCGCCGCCGCTATCGCGAGATTTGGCAGGCGGAGGAGGAGCTGTCGCGGGCAGCCTCCTCACAGCGATGGCGGCCGAGCAGGGCCGGCGGCGGCGGCGGCGGCGGCTCCGGCTGGACACGGCAGTGGTGACGGTAGCGGCGGGCGGCGGAGGCCTGTGACCGGGAACCGCCCCGGACCCGGGCACCATGAGCCAAGGCCCCCCCCCGGGGGAGAGCAGCGAGCCCGAGGCGAAGGTCCTCCACACCAAGCGGCTTTACCGGTGAGGGGCCGGGGCGTGCGTGCGGCCGCCGGGGGAAGTGGGCGCCGCGGGGGCGGGGCCGCGGCGGGCGGGGCCCGGGTGCGGGCCGGGGCGGGGGTGGGCGCCGGGGCCGGGCGGCCCGGGAAGCACGTGGACGGGGCCCCGGGCCGGGAGCCTCGGGCCGGCCCCGGCTGGGCGGCGGGCGGGCGGGTCGGGAGGTGAGGGAGGGGCGCAGCCGCAGCCAACCCGGAAGGGAGTGGCGCCCCGAAACCCGCAGGACGCAGAGGGGACAGCCCTGGGCAGGAGTCCGCGGGGCCGGGCGCGGGTCCTCCGCCGCTCGCTGTGTGACCTTGGGCCTCGCTGTCCGCCTTCTGAAGAGGACGGGCCGGGGTGGGATGCGCCCTGAAGCCCCCGTGGCTCTAATTTTGGGCGAGTTTGAATGAAAAGAGAGAGACTGAAGGCTCGTTGTGTTGGCCTGGAAGGGCCGCGAAAGGTTTTGAGTCCAGAGTGTCCTTAGGTCACGGGAGCCCATTTCAGGGCACCCGGGGACTCCTGATCCTGAGTCCTGCTTCCTCCCAGCCTCATGACTACAGCGTCTTGCCAGGCAGCTTCCATTCCCGGTTTCTGATTACCACAGCGCCACTCGCGCTCCCCAGGACGCGTCCTCAGCCCCCATCCCTCTGTTGGGAACAGGCCCGCGTGAGCTCTTCCCACCCAGGGTTAAGGATTTGGGGGGGGGGGGGGGGTACAGCTGGAACATGGGCCCCAGGGCTGGAGAATGGGGTGAAGTTCGAAAGCAAGTTGAGTTTTGTGCCTTCTAGTGGGGAGTGGGGTTTGGGCTTTTCATGCAGCCAGGGCTCTGCAGAGCAGGGGTGTTTGCTAGGGAGGAGGAGCACCCCCAGAGCACCGCGGTCCTGGCAGGGAGTGGAGAGCACGTTCTTTCCTCCTGGAGTGGGCATCCTGCCTGCTGGGGCTTGTAAGGCAGAGGGGAGTACAGGCCGCTCCAAAAATAGACAGGTGGCCCAGTGCAACGGCCCCTGGGCTCCCACCACTGGCTGCCCCCAGCAGCCTCTGGGTCCGCGGGGACTTGGCTGGGGCTGGCACATGTGCCTTGTCACGCTGCCTGTCAGAGCGTGGGCCCTGCTGCAGGATCCCTTCCTCATCACCTGCTTTCCGGAATAGCCGCGGTCACCCTTGGTGACCCTTGGGCAGATCTAGCTCTTACCCTCACAGCGCTGACTGGCCTACGGTGACGCATCTGCACGTGTGGCGTGCGTCTGTGCACCCGGGTACCCCTGCGGGTAATTGTCCGCTCCTGGCTCAAGCGGGGTGGAAATAAACGTGAGGCGGCAGGTCTCTGTTTTTATCTTTTATTAAAGAAGCCGTGAGTGCTGGAAGGACCTGGGGGAGGAAAATCTGACTTCTCTGCCTGAGACAAATGTGTCGATAGACTATGAAACTGTCACCCTGAGCTTCGGTGCATTTGGGAAATTCCCATGTCTGCTTACAGAGACAAAATTCTGCAGTGTTTAAAAGCCCTTCAAAAGAAGAAAAGGCAGCAGCAGAAGGCATGCTGGAAGGGCCACAAATACCAGTTAGTGAGGCCAATTAACTGACCCGACCAAAGATATTTTTAGGGGTACCTGGCTGGCTCAGTAGAGCATGCAGCTCTCTATCTTGGGGTCGGGAGTTGGAGCCCCACGTTGAGCATAGAGATTACTTTCCAAAAAAGAAATTTGCAATTAGAAGTTTCTAAAGTAATGGTTATTAACCTTTTTTTGGACTGAGAATCTAAGGAGAACCCTGGAGCTTGCCCATGAAGACGTGTGCACACGCTCCTTAGATCCGTGCCCGGCACTGACGTTAGAAAGCCTGTCCTGGGGAGTTAGGCTGGCACAGGGCAAATCACACCCCTGGCATTGAGGGCCAGGCTGGCTACAGGGTTTGGCTCCCATCTCCGGGCCCAGAAGGTGTTTGCAGAAATGCTGAGCTCTCAGGCCTGCCTGTGAGAAGGCCTAGATCGCCGTGCCACCCACTCATCTGGGCGCTGGCATTCACCGTGCCCTGTGCACAGCGGCCGTGAGCGGTGCGCCACCTGAGCCTCACAGGCGTCCTGCTGCGGCCCACTGTCCGCTGCCCCGGAGCACATGTTCCCGGTCTTGGATCGTTTGGGCAATCATCACTCTCCCTTTTTTTGGTTGCTTTTGTGCCGGGAGCTGTGTCTGATTTCACCTGTTCTCATGATGGCTTCCCGTCACCCTCTGGGTCTTGCCCTCCTAGAGAGGACGCCTCCCTTTGGCACTGCTGAGCCATCCATCGTAGAGTTCCCTGGTTCTTGTTCTTCGGGTCTAGAGTCTCCTCCTTCGGTATATAGCAAGAAAGGTGGAAACTCACCCTTACTGGATACTTCCCACGAATGAGGCACTATTACGAGTGCTTTGTGTATCAGCTCACTTCACTCTCACAGAGTAGGTGATGATACTATTTCCGTTCTGCAGATGGAGAACTGGGACGTAAGGAAGCTAGATATTTTGCCCAGGACCTGGAGCCTGCACCCTAATATCAAAGAATTTCTTCAGCAGAATCCAGGAGACCTTATGACTAAACAGCTCAGTGCCCACCCCCCACCCCGCTGCCATTTCCCGTACCCCAGTATTTCAAAAATAGAATTTTATGCTAGGAATGCATTTCCTTAATGTCAGAGATAATAAATTCTCGGATAATTAATTCATTCCACTATTATTTATTGAATGCCTACCATATATCAATGTCATACATCACTAAAAAAAATAAAAATTAAAAAATTTTAAAATGTCGTACATCACTTCTTTCATTGAATTCTGACAGTCCTCCGAGGTGGCTGCTACCATTATCTCCATTTTTTGTGGATGTGGCAACTAAGGCCTAAAGAGGTTAGATAATTTACCCAAAGGCACGGAGTTAGAAAGACAGGCCAGGGATCAAACTCTAGATTTCCTGGCTATCTCAGTGGAGGCTCTTTCCATTAAGAGAGTCTACCTTCTAGGGCGCCTGGTTGTCTCAGTCAGTTAAGCACCCGACTTAGCTCAGGTCATGATCTCGCCGTCCGTGGGTTTGAGCCCCGCGTTGGGCTCTGTGCTGACAGCTCAGCCTGGAATGTGCTTCAGAGTCCATGTCTCCCTCTCTCTGCTCCTCCCCCTCCCCCCCCCTCGCTCTCTCTCGGCCTCTCAAAAATGAGTAAATGTTAAAAAACAACAATGACAACAACAAAGAGTCTACCTTCTTATATCACAGGGTTTCTCTGCTTTGACACTGCTGACATTTGGGGCTGGGTAGTCACTGTGGTTGACTGTCCTGTGTATTGTTGGGTGTCGCAGCACCCACTGAATGCCAGTAGCAACTCCTCCCATGCCCTCAAACCCCTGCCGCAAGGAGGGTCCATGAGAAATGTCTGTGGTTGCCAAACGTCCCCTGAAGCAGGGAGGCGTTACACCGGGTGGAGACTGGGTTCATCTTGCTTTGTGCGGCTCTGCATGCAGCCTGCCCCCCGCCCCTACCTGCAGCTTCTCAAGGGTCAGCGCCCTGGCCTGGGTGCACACACGCCTGCGTGCACACACGCACGGCTCAGGGACCGTGTGCCTGTGTTTCCCTCCAGGGCTGTGGTGGAGGCTGTGCATCGACTTGACCTCATCCTTTGCAACAAAACTGCTTATCAAGAAGTGTTCAAACCAGAGAACATTAGCCTGAGGAACAAGTAAGCTGGAGGCTGCAAAACCACAGATCCGGACGGTTCCCCTACCCTCCTCTCCACCCGAAACTGCTGCATATAGACACCTGTCCTCTCTTACCTCCTGACCTCATGCTACAATAATGGGCTGTGAGCCCTGGCCTTCCTGAGAGGAGACATGGGGACCCCTCATTCTCTCTGAAGCTCCTGCATCTAACAGACTGGGGCCATATGGATGGCATTGGAGTTGGCACAGCTGGCCGTGCTGCTTAGTGACAGGGAAGAAAGATGGGTAAAAAGGCAGGAAAAAAGGAGAGAAGCGTGCGGGGAAGAAGACTACTAATGTTCTTCCTGCTCCTGCCTCTGTCCTTTGGGGGCTCCCACTTGCCCTGTAGACCGCTGATTGTCTGGGTCCCGCAGATGGACCCTGGACGTCTCCTGGGAGGCAGGGATTTGTCGGGCGGGTATTGGCAAATGCCTCCTCGCTCCACCCAGGGCCCCAGGGCGGTCAGTGTCTTGTGCTCCTCTGTGCTCTCAGGCTGCGTGAGCTCTGTGTCAAGCTTATGTTCCTGCACCCGGTGGACTATGGGAGGAAGGCTGAGGAGCTGCTGTGGAGAAAGGTGTACTACGAAGTCATTCAGCTCATCAAGACTAACAAAAAGGTAAGGGGAGGTCCTGGATCTTGAGACGAAATGTGTCTAGAGAGGGAAGCTAGGAAGGAAGAAGCAGCTAGAAAGTGGGCCAGGACACGGCTGGAGAAAGAGGAGCCAAGGAGGAGATGCCAGAGAGGAGGGAGGGCTTCCGATGTGGTTTGGATTAGGGGAGGAAAGGAGCCTCATCCCGGGGGGGAAGGCCAGAGAGGTGGGCCTGAGGCTGGGGGAGAGCTCGAGAGTGAGAGGGGGTGTGGATGCAGTTCAGAGCCGAGGAGACGGGTTACTGTCCTCGTGTAGGAACGGGGCTGGGAGGGGAGCGTCCTCGGAGCGAGTCGCTTAGCA